TTTGCGAAATTCGATATACTTCTTCTTTTTATTCTAAATAACATACACATCGAGCTATAGCTCTTCATATTACAATCACCATATATGCACGTAAATCAAACTTTGAACTACATAAAATTAAAAAATCAAAACCAAGTTCTCAAACTTTTTAATCAAAATTTTTAAAATAATTTTTGGTAAGGAAGTTTAAAGTTGCTAAAAGATCCCGTTGATTTTTGATAATGTTTTTTTGCTAACTCTGTTATGCATTTCTTTCAGGCAAAGTATGTTTGACAACTTTTTATATGGAAGAAAATGTTCTCCTATGGCAGAAAACGCCCACAACGAAGTCATACAGCATTTGCCACCGATTTTGACAACAACCGATCATCAAAGCCAACAGATTTCTGTAAATTTTCAAGTACATATGCATAACACATAACACAATCTACAAGAATAGTTTGAGGAGAAAGCAGCGAAGGTAACAAAATATATTACAAAAAACAAACTGCAGATTCGATTAACTTTGCGGACGTTACTCTCTTTGCCGGTGAGAAAATGCATTTTTTAGACTGATATTGTTGTATTTTATTAAAAGGTATTGTGCAAAGGCTATTCAGAGCTTTGTTTCAAGAAGTAAATAATGCCCCTCGCAAATCAAATTTTTTTTTAAATAACTGTGAAATTAATTGGAGCTAGGTCCTATGAATTGATTTTTTTTTTTTTTTATTTAAAGTTACTTCCTAAATGAATTGATTTACGTCCTCATTTTTTTTGTTTTTTTTGTTGATCGCACTTTAGATTTTGGTGTGCGATATGTATATTTGTCGACACATGCGAGAATTTTAATTGCATGCATTTTTTCCGTTTTTGGGTTTCCTGTTTCTCAAATTTTCCCATATCCGTTTAATATCCATTCATTTTGTTATCCGGATATCCGGTTAATAGCCGTATATTCGCATTTATAAATCAGATATTCGAATATGCGGATTATCTGGATTCTCAAAAAATTCGGATAGAACTCCCAACACGTCCGTCACGCTAGTTGACCCACTTCTCCAAAAAATGATAAAAATTACTCAGGAATTAGGTGCAATTTAGGTGCAATTTAGGGCCTCCA